ACTAAGCGCTTCTTGGGAGGCAACCCAAGTTCTTTTTACTCAATTTCATTAATTTTTTTTTATTTTTTTTATTTTGTTGTATTCTTATGTTTGATCATTATTTTTTTTTGTTGTCATGGTATTCTAGCTAAGACTTCTTTTGATTGTTTTGTAGGGAACAAGTAAAGAAGGTGAAAAAAAAAAAAAAATTGTGTCGCGGCATAATGCCGCAACATTGAGCATTCTGCCTTTTTAACTAATTGTTGGGCAAAATTTTGTGATAGGTTGCAAAAGTTTGAAGCAAGAGTGTAAGCACAAACTATTAAGCACACACACTCTGAACGAAACAACCCAAGACACAAGTCTAGCAAGCAGTGTGTACGTAGAACTTGATGGGATACACACAACAAAGGACATAAGCCAAATCATAAGATTGACAACCAATGTGCACACATAATTGTTCTGCATACACAACTCATAAGTTTGACAAATATAATATTCTACAGTAACTTTGATAGTGATTGGTGAGAAGGATACCTGCTACTACGATCTGTTATCTTGCAACAATTTTTAAGACATTGACATATTTATATAACTTGTTATCTGATTGCCATTCTTTCCTCAAACTACTGAATTCATTGACTTTCAATCGCTCAATTGAAAAACAAATTTTGACAATCTGAATGGGCACTAGTCACATGCACACTTCCAAAGTCCACATTTAATTATTAAAATTCCTTTTACTATGACTTTTTTGTCCAATTATTTTGGAATCTGGTGTGATAAGTTGCATAAATTTAGTGTTTTAGGTTTGTTTTTATAGTCTTCTAGTTAATTTCTCATTTGTTTTCTTTGTTTTGATGTTAGTTTTTGTTAAGTTTGCGATGTGAATGGTCAGCTATTTATTTGGAGAATTTTTTAATTTTCAGGCGTTAATTGAGTAGATTGGAGCATTGGAATGAAATTAGGATTCAAAGCTTGAAGAAATTGAGATTAGCTGACAATTTTGAAGGCCATGGCCTTGCCTTGGTGGTTCACCATGACCATGGTGGTGGAATGAGGATAAAATAACAAGGACAGGAAGCACCATGGCCTAGGCTGTGGTGACGTACATTTGGAAACGGCCAGGGCCTTGTCGGACACTTTTAAGGTTTTTTTTTTCTTTAGTTTTTCTTTCCTTGTTCGCTTATGACTCTTTTGGGGTATTTAAGTGTGATTAAGATTACTTCTTAGGGGGCCAAATTTTGCCTATTCTTGAGAGAGATTATTGTGTAACAAAAGAAAAAGGAGAATCAAGAACAAAATTCATCATAGAGTTTGTCTTTACTTTTTCAATATGATTTATTTCTTGGATTCTACTCTTATTTCTTTTATTATGAACTAATTTTCTCAGGCTAAGACCAGGGTTAGTCTATTTATGGATCTGTGATTAATCTTCTACTGTATGGTAAGTGAATTATTTTTCTAATGACGAGCTTATATTATGTGCTTAATGCTATTAGGAACCTGATCAATTTCTAATAGAATTGTTTTGTGTGATTGAGACCGAGAGGAGATATAACATGAGTGCTCTAGTAATATAAGCCATGGATTGATTGGATATAGAGATATATGAATTGATACATGCAATAGTCATAGGCAAGATTAACTTGTGCTGAAAGCTAGAGGATTTCATAAAGCTTAATGCTTGTCTATTTCATTAAATCTATATAAAGATATCTAGGTTGTGAGATAGAAGTAGAATTAATATTGCTTGAAAAAGAATATTGGTTAACCTAGGAAATCCCGTTGTCACATTACTTAAATAAATTATTGACCATAGTAAATTGAGGGGTGCAGAGAAGTTATAGATGAGCCTAAAGTCTTTGCCATTTTCTCTCATTGAATTCTTAATTTTAGTTTTACTGCAATTGTTCGTTTATAATATTTTAGCTTTTAATATTTTTAGTTTTAAAGATCACCATTTTAAGTTTTGACTATCTAGATAAAGTTAAGACTAATTAACATTTTAGTACTTGTTTACACAATCCCTTGGGTACGATAACCCTTGGGTACGATAACCTGTATTTTGTTACACTATATTACTTAAGACTAGTGCACTTGCTAATAGTTGTTTCGAACGACACAACATGGTAGAGTACTAGATTCTTATTCATATAAATGTAAAATACACAATAACTGAAAAGCCAATAACATATCTTGCTGTCATAAAGTTTAACTGGTTTGAAGTCTAATAGGTACATAACAATTTTATAACAAAATTACACATTGCATCACAGGTCTTAATCCTCAAAACATTCTTTGCGATCGATATAGCTCACTACTTTGGTCTTTGTTGTCCAAATTACTGATTTTGATTTACATATATATCAGCAAAATATCTTATTGGAATATTATCATAAATTAACCACTCCTAAAGTTTACGTTTATATAATTTTGTCAATTTTTGTCAAAGATATCCCTTTTAGTTTTAAAAGCATATCATTCTCATGATAACATTGTAAAGTTTTATCATACTTATAATTTTTTGTCGAAGTGTTATCATATTTAGCTCTCACAATTTTAAAACCATATTGTTGATATCCCTTTGTCCTAACTCCATTTTATTTTATCTTTTATTTTAATTTTAATTTTCTTTTGTAATTTGAAAAAAATTATTCAATTAGACACTTGTGGAATAACATACGGTATTAAGAAAACCACCCACTTGTGGCCGGATGGTGAGGGGAGTGAGAGGTGCTGGGTTAAAGATCAGGAGATCTTGAGTTCAAGTTATACCAAGTGGGTGGCCAACCATCTATTTTACCAAAAAAAATAACATATTAAGAAGTATTATAATACATTACCCGTTTAATTATAATGTCAATTTGATGGATTGAGGACAAAAGGGCGGTAGTGATATGCTTTTAAAATTGCAAGGGTCCTTATAAAAATTGGCAAAGTTATTCTCCACTTTTAAAAACGCAAACCTTAAGGATAGTTTATGATAATATCGGGTATATTATGGCATGTTAATCCTTACCTTTGAGTTTTGGCTCAATCATTCATATGCCGGCATGGAGGGTTATGTAGAGTTTGGTAGAGCTCATTGTTGAAGTCTCAGTACTTAGATATATACAAACTAAAATCATATTTAACCTTTTTAAAATCTTTGAAGTGATAGAAAGCTTTAATTAATTACGCATAGAGAATTCGGAGCAATAAATCCAAAGCGGACAGATGAATTTTTTTTATACATATATATCGTTTATAGCCGTAAATAAGAACAGACCAATTCAGCTGCAACTGACTGTTTTAAAAGTAAGAAAACTGCACATTTTTTATTCAATTCACCGATCTAAAAAAGTTGGCAATATATTTTTTTTCGTATGTAGCCAGACGGTTTAAAACCTATCCAATATATATAATATTGTTTTTGTTAGACAAAATCAAGCAAAGCTTGATCAATGGCTTGAATTAAGCAAGACTCGATTCAAGCCATTGATCAAGCAATTCAATGGCTTGAATCAAGTCTTGCTTAATTCAAGCCATTGATCAAGCTTTGCTTGATTTTGGCTAACAGTTTTGATGCTATCTTTTTAAATTATTTTATATAGACATAAATGTTTCGATGTTTTCATACACATTTTAGCACTACTGTTATCGACAGAATGAAATGGAACTAATTAAGTATCGGTCTCGTAAAAGTTAGAAGTGCTTGACTATCTATCGTCTATATGGGGAGGCCTTTGAATTTCGGATGCTTAATTAACAACCTTTGTGACCTCTGGCAGGGGGAAAATACTTAAACTTTTTACTTTTTCAACTTTGAAGATCATATCTCAAGTTAATCACAAGCTACAAATTTTGTCTTAGTCAACAACTAAATATTAGATATTAGAATTGAGATGGCTCCACAAAATATGAAAAGAAGAAAAAATAACAAGTCACGACAATGTTTAATTTATATATTCTTTTTTAAGATGAACACACAATTTCATCGATGCGATATTGTGGAGCCCATATGGTAGGTTCTTAAGATGCCCGTGACACACCAATCCAGCAAGCAACTTCCACTACGAAAATGACAATATGGAAATCACTATTCACTGTAGAAGAACTTTAATCCAACAAGGAAGTAACTACTAGCTACCTTCTATCTCTAACTGTGGACTCATTATATTATCGAATAACCAACAGAATTGATGAGAAAAATCTTGAGGGCGTTGGTTTATCAAGTGTCCTCATCATATTCATTATTGAAATCTTTGCGTTAGGTCTTTTGGATCCGTTTGTCATGCTGAATTATGAATTTTCATAATGTTATATCTTGTGTAAATATCGGGAAAAGAAGAAAAATGATATTTGGATCCAAGTGATGGCCATATAGAAAAGATTGATGTCGATATATAACACTGATTAATTACTGAAAGAATAACTGTGGCAAACTAGGAGGACAAGATTTTATTTTGTATATATCCTTTTTGTCCTCTGAGCCCAGCCAAAATAAGTGGTCTGATTTGGAAGGAAGCTGAAACTGTAAGAAAATATAGATAATCTAGATGAAATTCAACAAAAATGAAATGAAAAGAAAATATTGACTATCTAACGAGTAGGGGAAAACGGTCCAGTATTGTACATGCATTGATAATATATGGTCAAAATTTATTTCGTCACAGCGGTATTGTACATAGTTTTACGAACTGGCAGAGATGATGAGACTAAATGGGTTCCACCTACGATGCACATAAATAATAGATAAAAATTCAGTGCAAGCCATTAAATTGTCCTAGATACATCCTTGGATTGATGCTTGGTCAGGATCAACTTGGCAGTTTAATCCCCACCTCACAAACATCCAAAATTTTGCACTAAAATCTCTTGCGTTGCCAGCTAAAACTTCAAGAGTACACATGGGTGTATGGATTGTTCTACGGCTTAATAATTATTATATGTTAACATCAAAAGCAACCGACTCATCCTCCAGAACCCTATAAAATCCCACCCTTAACAACAAATTTTTGCACCACAATTAATCTCAAATACTCTCTCCTACAGCTTCTGCTATACTACTATTATAAGCTGGAAGCTGTCAGGATTTTAGACATGGCTTCAAAAACCTCAGCATCAGTTGCCCTCTTCTTTGCACTCAACATTCTCTTCTTTTCCGTAGTCACTGCATGTGGCTCTTGCCCAAAACCAAAGCCACCCCCGGGCTCAGGCTCGGGCTCAGGCTCAGGCTCAGGCTCGGGCTCTGGCTCTGGCTCTGGCTCCGGCTCCGGCTCCGGCTCCGGCTCTGGCTCGGGCTCGGGCTCGGGCTCGGGCACGGGCAGAGCTTCTTGCCCCAGGGATGCTCTTAAACTAGGTGTTTGCGCTAGAGTGCTTGGTTCCCTGCTGAATGTGACGGTTGGCACACCACCTGTAACTCCATGCTGCACTCTCATTCAAGGCCTTGCTGATCTTGAGGCTGCAATTTGCCTTTGCACTGCCATCAGAGCCAACATTTTGGGTATCAACCTTAATCTCCCTATATCACTCAGTTTACTTTTAAATGTCTGTTCTAGGAACGCTCCCTCTGGCTTCCAGTGTAACTAATAATATTTTTATTTCTTTGTTTCCATGTTCTAAGATTATGAATTATGTGTTATCGTGGTTTACTGCTTGTTTAACTTTCGTTGTAATGGTTTACTGGTATTCTGATTGTGGGCTGATAGTGAATAAGTTTGTCTTGTTTCCCTTGTTAGTCATCACTATTGTGTACTTCTCTGGGAAATAATATTCAACATGGTTTATACGTGTTTATTATAAATATTTCAATTGTTGTTTTCTTGATCTCATACTATTTTTTTTTTAAATGCAAACATTTCATAATTTTTATGAAGATCTGTAAATAATTTCTGACAAGATATTTTTAGGGTTTTCGAAAAAAATTTAAAAGAAAGTGATGACAACAAATCAGGTGTAACAAATATTACTCCTCAAAGGAGATCTAAAAAAATTCATGATAGACTGAAAAAAAAATTGAAAAATTGTATGAAACAAAATGGAAAACGTGAGAAAAAAATCAAACATCAAATAAAACATAGATTGTAGTACCCCAACAATCATGAAGAAGCAAAGGACCTAATGTGTGAGGGAGGCAGCTGGTTTCACCACTGAAGATCTATTATTATTCCCTCCTACGCCTCTCTTATATATAAATATTATTTTATTTTGCCTATCTTTTCTTTAGGATTTGGGCTGTATTTATAGGGGAAAAAAAAATTTTCTACATTGTTTCTTATTCATCTACTGGTTCTTGGATTTTTGCGTACTTGTTCCTTTGGCCTTTAAGGAGAGAGAAAAACAAAGAACTAATTAATCATACAGAACACAAACTTCGATCTTCTGCAAAAGCCAAATTCTTCTGTAAATATAAGCATGTATTATACAGCTACGATTGCATGTCACATAAGCCTCCGGACGAAAATTAATCGAAACATTAAGTTGTGAGATTGATGAAAAATGATACCAAAAACCCTTAGGACAGGCTTTGTTGCCAAATAAATAATTTGCCAGGTCGGCTACTTAGTTCCAAATGACTGGCTTATGAAGAACGTTAAATCTAATATTCAAAATAAAGAAATATAAGATTATAGACATTATGCATGCGATGCTTATAAGTGGAATTGGACTATACCCTAAGGGAAACATGTCTTCATCATTCTTACATCATGTCGGTTATATCCTGGGATAATTTGGTCGTATATACTAATAAGTTCAATTATTGGGCCGCGAAATTTAGATAAAGTCTATAGTCTATATAGCAAGCACCAGCAGCTACAGTAGAGTCCGTGACTGATAGTTTGGTAAGGTAAACGCATCTTCACATGCAAAAAGCAAGAAAAACAAAGTTTTTTTCGTTTTCTTTCATTACATGATATACGAAAAGGCAAAGATTCCATTTCTCTGTTACTGTTTGAATTCCACTAATCGATTTTCATCTGCTACTTTCTTCCTGCAATAATAATGTCAAAAAGAATGGGTCAATAATCGCACACGGACACACCATCTAATCATCTATCAATTGTCTGTCTTTTTTTTTTTTTTTTAATAATTTTTTTTTTTTTTTATCCATTGGATCATGTACAAAACAAGTTAAGTCAAATTATTTTAACCAGATGATACAATATTATGGAATATGCGTAGGAAAAAAGTGTAACGAACTAACGATCAAGTAAAAGCTTAATACATGGAGGAGCACTGGATTTGAGGGCTTGAACCAGCTCCCGATACATTTTGGCCAGCTTTCTTTCCCCACGATGAATGGGCTTGTGAAACTAGGTCCAAGGGAGGACGGATTTCAAACCTATAAATACACTATTGAAAGTTTATAATTAACCAACTTCATTAAACTATTGTGGAATAAGTTGATTGAGTTCATTTATGTTTGTGGGAAATGCTATTCATCAACAACACATTACCAATCATCAAGGACATAAAGTAAAGCATATAAGAGATTTTTTACATGGTTCGACCAACTATCGACATTCATGGGACCAAGTCCAGACGAAGCAAATCCACTATAGCAAACATTCAAAGTTCATTATAGGGTTGAAGATAAGCAAACAAATATAAAATACTCCTTATTTCATAGCACTCTAACGTCACCCTCTGGTTGATTCAATGTTCATCCACAACTTGCTTCCAAAAAACCTCCTTGATAGCTCGAGCTCCACTCAAGCTTTAATATCGAAGACAACCTTCAGCTCCACAGCTTGAAATCCCTTTACACTTCCGTCGATGGAACCGTGTTCCAACACACACTTAACAATAAAGATAAGTATTTTGAGCACAAAACCATTAAAGGAACCTGACCTAGAATGAATAAACTCTCTAAGGAATTTCTAGAGAACACACAAAGGAATATTCAGGTTCAAAGATAAATGTAAGAATGAAGAAGATAATATCGAATCGTTGTGCAAGAAACCCTTAGACAACTAACTGACAAAGCCTTGTCAATCCACCAGATGTTCAAGAACAAGAAAGAAACAAAAAGTGAATTGAGCTCTTTTTGGAATAATCAAGAAACTTCAGCTACTATATTCTTTAACTGAAAAGAGTAAAGTTAGTTTAGTTTATATACAAGAACGAAGACTCAACTAACTTCTCTAAACGCCATCGTTTTGGTGTTTTACAAAGACAACCCTTTACATTTTGCAATATTACACTTTGAGCCCAACATGATTGACATGCTCCCTCAAACTAGACTACATGATCAAGTTGAACTGATATTTTTAGAAAGAGCTTATGCCAATATTATTGACATGCTCCCTCAAACCAGACTCCATGACCTACTTGAGTTACTACTTCTTAAGAGAGCTTCCAAAGAGAGCTTGCTGAACAGTTGACTGACACGCCTCCTGAAAACAGACCAGATTCCACTTCATTCACTAGTTGCAGAAAAACAATGTTTTTAAATCCAGGTGTAAGCATTTCCTTGACCAGGCTTGCAGAGGCAACATATACTCAACACCACACTAGTGGAAAACCTACTGCACTGAGCTACCAGTAAATCAATGTAATTTGAACGCAACTTGATAATTTGAACACAACTTGAGCATATTCACTTCACAGGCTATCAACACAATGCTGCGTGAATGAACACAACTTGAGAATATTCACTTCACAGGCTACCAACACAATGTTGTGGGAATTCTAAAACACCACACTTTAACACTACTAACCAACCAATCCTCAAATCTTGTTCTAACCAACCAATCATCAAACCTTGTTTTGAAAAACAGAATGAACCAAGATAAAATCCATTTCTGTTAGCAAAACACATCCACCTTTGCAGAGCCAGTACAAAGCTTTTCCCTATAGTGAATCCTTTCAGTAATGCAATTCAATTGCAGAGCCAATACAAAGCTTCTCCTTGTAATGAATCCTTCCAGTAATGCAATTCAAAGAACAAGACCACAACATATTTTTTCGCAGTACAAAAGCAGTTGCTAAACAACAAAGAAATGTAAAAGTGTTGCTAGGAAATGAAATGCAGAACCCTTGGCTTAAGGCACTGCCCAAGAAGTCTGCACAACAAAAATCAGCCAAAAAAATGCAAAACAGAATCCACAATTGTAGCTCTGGGAAGCAGAATCCTCAACTGTAGTTATGAAAAATAGAATCCACAACTGCAATACTGAAGAACAGAATCCACAACTGATCCACAACTGCATGAACCTTGTCTCTGCCCTTGATCATAATTCTGTAGAACAACAAATCATGTTTACTAACAACAGTGAGCTTATGCCTTAAATCAGTAAATTGGGCTGATGATAAAGGTTTGGTTAATATATCAGCTATTTGAAGTTTGGAGGGAACATACTGAATTGCAACTTGTTTAGCTAATACTTGCTCTCGGATGTAATGTGCATCAATTTCTATGTGCTTAGTTCTAGCATGGAAGATAGAATTGGCTGCTACATCTCCTGCACTTACATTATCACACTAAATGACAGGTGTGGTGGACAAAGACAATCCTAATTCACTGAAAACACTTTGTAACCAGGCTACTTCAGTCCCAGTTTGAGCTAAAGCTCAATATTTAGCTTCGATGGAGGATAGTGCTACAACTTTCTGCTTTCTGGAACTCCACTGAATCAAATTTGGACCCATATACACACAATATCCACTTGTTGACCTCATATCTTCTAGATTACTACCCCAATCAGCATCAGCATAGCATTCTACTTGTAAAACTCTTGCTGGTTTGAAGTGTAAACCATAATCCAGAGTACCTTTCACATACCTGAGTATTCTTTTACAAGCCTGCCACTGTAGCTCAGTAAGAGCTGAGAAAAACTGACTCAACTTATTAACAGGAAAGCTAAGATTAGGTCTAGTTAGAGTGAGGTATTGGAGAGAACCTATGGTGCTTTGAAAAAGAGTAGGATTTTCAAAAGGTGCACTATCAGTAAGAACAACTTGATTCCAGTAGCCATAGGAGTGAGGCAAGAATTAGCATCTTGCATCTTGGTCTTGATTAACAAATCTGAAGCATACTTAGTTTGTTTTAGGTGAATCCCTCTTGAATTTCGAGTAGCCTTCAAACCAAGAAAATAGTGAAGTGAGCCAAGTGTTTTAAGGGCAAACTGATCATTGAGCTCTTGCATGAGATGAGTAACATATGAGGAATCAGACCCAGTAATAAGTATGTCATCTACATAGACCAAAACATAGATTAGTGAACCTTTTTGTTTAAGAATAAACAGGTTGGAATCTGACACAGATTTCTGGAATTCTTTGCTATGAAGGGTTGTTTTTAACTTATCAAACCAAGCTCTATGAGCTTTTTTGAGACCATAAAGAGCCTTGTTTAATCGACATGTGTAAGAAGGTTTTTCAAGATCTTCAAACCCCAAGGGTTGCTGCATATAAAACTCCCCAGTGAGTGTGCCATTGAGAAAGGCATTATTTACATCAACTTGCTGAATATCCCATCCTTTCGTAATAGCTAATGTGAGGATTATTTTGATGGTAGAAGGCTTGATTACTAGGCTACAAGTTTCAAAGTAATCAAGGCTAGGGGTTTGTTGAAAACCCTTGGCAACAAGTCTAGTTTTATACTTTTGCAAAGACCTATCAACATGATATTTGACTCTAAATACCCACTTGTTGCCTACAACATTAACATCAGGAGTTGATGGCACAAGGGTTTATGTATTGTTATTTTTTAGTGCATCAAATTCACTTTGCATATCAGCTTTCCATTTAGTACTAGTAAGAGCATCAAAGGCTGAAACAGGCTCTGGTTCAATAGCATCTTGTGAGGTGACAAGGGCTAT